TTAAAGGGGTGGTTCAGTGTTTTTTTTCTAGGCTTGATTGTGTTTATGGGGTGCAGTATAACATGTTAATTCTCAGTTTTAAAAAAAACATATTTTTTACATAATTTACCTTTATTCCACACCGCTCTGTCCCTTCTTTGAGAAACGTGCTGATCATTTCCTGCTTAGGCGATGGGCTCTGATTAATTAGCTAGCCCAGTGTGTTGTGATTGGCTACACCGCCTCTAGTCCCTCCCCTCACCTCAGCGGCATGTGCTCCGGTTGTATTGTAAACAACGGCGTCATTAATGTCGCTTATCAGTTTGAGCCTGATTGAGAAGCAGAGGATATTATTGAAGTGGATCGTGCAGAACCTTTTAATGGTAGGGCTATGTTTTTTGTTTGTTGTTGTCTCATACTTTTAGATATGCTGTTATTTATTTGTAAATGCTACTGCTTATGTTAGTTTTAATATACGGTTTTATCCTGGTTAAAGCTTTAATACAGTACGGCAAATGCACGCGCATCCATGTTTAACGCTTCACATAGCTATGTGAAAATAAGTGTATAATTGGAACAGTTCATTGTTGGAGCTGAGCTGAATGAGAGATAGAGGGAGAGAGAGATGCAGAGCATGTGCAGAGCAGGGGGACGCGAGGAACAGTATTAAGAACCGCTGCTTTAGAACATTGATTTTGAAACTTGTGAATCCATTAGAATCGTTATAAGACAGAATCGCGATTCATATATGAATAGATTTTTACGTGCACCTCTAGTTTTCTCTTCCTCTTCTCTAAAGCAGCGCAGCATGGCCTCGCCCCCTTCGTTGCATGTTCCCGAGGGCGGGGTTTATCTGGGTTTGTGATGTCACGAACCTGGGAAGTAACTTGTTTTAGTCCCTACGAGCCATTTTTGTTGGCATTAAACTGCCAACATTTTAAAAGACAGATATTGTTTATGCTCAAACAGCAACATTACACGCTAACTAACGTTAAAAAAGTGAAATCGCAATCAACCACCCCTTTAAATAAATAAAGGATCTGGACCAAAATTAATCCTTAAAGCACTGCTTTTCACAATGACCTGGCAACCACCCACAAGAATCACTCACTAGTTTATTTTAGTTTGTATTGTTCGGTGTAAAAGATGACAGACATTTAGCATTTGCCTTGAAGTGGATTATTCCATAATAATGTATGTGGTGTCGTGGTGTGTTGCCCTTTCTCTCCTCCGAAGTAAGTGTATATGCCTAACAACACAAAAACTAAAAGCAAACGGACTGTGACTGAACATCTGCTAGAATTATACCAGACTAATAAATGACTTTTCAAGAAAGCATTGAGCTTGAGAAGACAATGATGGAGAATATGAGGGAGTGGAAAAATGTGTATTTGACGCTGAGATGTGTGAGAGGCAGAGCTTGAACAAAGGGGCTGTTAGAACGAGGTGGTTAATTGTTCACTCTGGGATGGCATCTTGTCAGTAGAGATAAGTTGTCACGTTTTCCACTTGAGCTGAGACCAAGCGATTGTAAAATAAGTTACAGCCGTCCTTGGGGCTGTCTGCTGATGCACGGGGCTGGGAGCATGCTCAGTGCCATCCTGAATATCCCCCCAGCCCCTCCCCACATCAGCGCTTTCACCCCGCCTGATATTGATGTGAACTGAATGTTATTTTATTCTGCCGCTAGTCACAGCTGTCAGTGCCGCTTATGAAAAGTGAAGCAGCCTTCTGATAGCCTGAGCTGGAAAATCCAGCCAAATGCCAGTCAGAACTGGCCTCACATGAACACGAGCGCTCAATCATTTAAACCAGAGCAGACACCACAGAACATTCTATATGCGTGAGATAAAAAAGGGCTGAACGTTTACATCAGTTTCTCTTTCTTTGTGTCCAGATGCCGGTCTGGGAGATTCTGTATGCTCCAGTCCAAGCATATCCAGTACCACCAGTCCGAAGATAGACCCGCCCCCATCACCCCACGCCAACCGCAAAAAACACAGGAGGAAGAAGAGTACCAGCAACTTCAAGGTGGACGGCTTCTCTGGAACTGCAGAAGGTACATCCGGTCTCTGTACCACTTCATCTGTAGTCTTCTCTTCCTCTCAGATCTGGTCAGATCTTTACTTTACTTACTTTACTTTACCATCTCTTGGTCTGTAAATCTCAGCCACGTTCCTAAGAACCGCTGTAATGCATTGGTTCTTAAACGATCTTTAACATCGTATCTAACTGCAATGTTATATGATGTTTTACAGGGTGAGTAATAAGAGGGTGAGTGTGAAAAACTATTGCACAAAAGTCCACTCAGAAAAATGTTACATTTAAAACCTGTTTAAACCTGGAAACAAATGGAAAATTCTAGGATGCTGCATTTCTAGGTCACGAATCAAATTAGTATTTGTATGAGTCAAAAAAAAAATGCAATAGAACAGAGTTCTTGAAGTTTTTCAGTAGAGGTATTATTAATAGTGCTAAAGTTATTCAGTCAATTTTTATTTTGTCAATATTGCTGTGTAATCCACTTCATTTATACTGCAAGAAATAATGCACAGAGCTATTTTGATATAACATTGTTCATTGTGTATGTCCTTTTAAATATAATCTAAATTATACTTAATTGTGAAATTGACCGTGTGAACTCCTTTGTAGAAAAAGTCAAACTTCCACCTTGCTCTTAGAAACATTCTCAAATCATGCTGGATAACATAATCATCAAATTTTACACTGATGCTGTCATGAAAGCAAAACGGGGACAAACCAAATACTATAAAAATTCTGAAATTCATGTTAATTCATGTACTTTTCACTCAAATTCCGATGCTCAAAATATAATTTTTAAATTAGAAAAGTGGAGAATAGCAGGCCTTTTGAGTGGTGCTACAGTCATCTGTACATTTAATTATAATCAAAGAACCCTTCCCATATACCAGCATGTATATAAACACCATTAGTTGCATACACTGCTGCTGTTACACACACATAAACGCAAGCAAGCACACACCGTCATGCAGTAAAGTTGTGTCTGCTGTGACGGTGCAGTGGAACAGATGTTTCTGAGCAGCAGATGTGTAATATGTTTCCTGCCATCAGTATGGATCAGGCAGCTGACAGGCCTGCGTGGAGCAAGAGAAATATGCTGAGTGATTATTACACACTCACACAGACAAGCCGGTTAAACGCCGTCTGTCACTCACACACGCACAGACTCCACTCATCACTGCAGTTACCATTCTGACACAATGGATAGATATTTGTATTTATTTTAGTACTCATTCTCATTGAGAATTGAAGCTTAAAGTGGTTTAATTAGCATTTTATATAACTACACACAGTATTGTTTGTTCAACTTTGCAATAGGCCTACATTTAAATATGATGTAAATGCAAATAACATACTATGCTGTTCAAAAGTTTGTGGACTGTAAGTTGTTTAAAAAAACATTTATTCAGCAAGGAAAAAGTTATGCTCAAGACTTATATTGTTGCAAAATTATTTAAAGTAAATGCTGAACATTCTATTCATCAAAGAATCCTAATATATATATATATATATATATATATATATATACACACATACACACAGTATCTCACAGAAGTGAGTACACCCCTCACATTTTTGTAAATATTTTATTACAGATGCATCTCAATAAATTAGAATGTCATGGAAAAGTTCATTTATTTCAGTAATTCAACTCAAATTGTGAAACTCGTGTATTAAATAAATGCAATGCACACAGACTGAAGTAGTTTAAGTCTTTGGTTCTTTTAATTGTGATGATTTTGGCTCACATTTAACAAAAACCCACCAATTCACTATCTCATCAAATTAGAATATGGTGACATGCCAATCAGCTAATCAACTCAAAACACCTGCAAAGGTTTCCTGAGCCTTCAAAATGGTCTTTCAGTTTGGTTCACTAGGCCAGTGTTTCCCAACCAGGGTGCCATCTGTCAAGAGCAGGGGTGCCGTGTAAAAAATCCTTTTTTAATATTTTTAAATTGCTAAAATGTTCAAAAAAGTATCTATTATATAATATCCATTTCTGATGTCGCCAATAATTAGAGATGCACCGAAATTCCGGCTGCCGAAAATAAGTTTCACTTTCACGTGGTGTGACGCTCTGCGTTTAATCCCGCTCTATGCGTGTGCGCTCTGCTCAGTCGCTCCATTTGTATACCGTTCATGCTCATCAGAACAGCAAAGTCCACTCGAAAAACGAGCCGACAGGAAACATCGATGTAATACAGTATTGTTTCTGTCTGCAATAGCCCTACTGTGTTGTAACATGGTGTGGTATATGGGCATCTCTGGTAATGTTGCCCTCTCATTCATTGATCTGCTAACCGC